TGAAAAATTTGGTTTAAATTTGTTTTATTTCAAACGTGTAAACTTATTACGAAAATCAACGTTCAATCAAATCTTTATCTTGCTAAAATTTGTAAAAACAAAAACAAAAATAAAAGACTTTTACAAATATTACATTTATTTTATAATAATTCGGAACTAGTGTCAGAACTAAATGTAGAAAATAATCGAACAATGTATCTATCTATCTTCTTTTGGTGACGATGAATGTGGTAAGAATAAGAATTGGAATAAAAAAAACGAAAAAAGTAAACGGTAGAGAAAGAAGAGTTGTTGAAAAAGATTACCATGGGTTAACATACCGGTAGAAAGATTCGTAGACCAAGTAAGTATACATAAGCCAGGACAAAGGGTTTACAAGCTTAGGTAGCAAGCAAACCATTTTTGTCGTCTTACTCGAATACATTGTTTGAAACCTGATTATCCAAGTCGTTAATAACCTTTTAAACGTTCCGAAGAAAAGAAAATAAGCTGGGAAAAGAAGTGAGTTAGTTACTCAAACTTATTCACCTAAAGAAACCATGATGAAAATGTTAGAAATTTTGTTGAAAATTCTAACAACATAACGAAATTATAATCTCATACGATTGTTATGTGTTTCTTGAAATCGTTGTTTATGTTCAATAATTTCTGTAATTTAGAAAAATATTTCATTCGTCGTTATGTACAAAAGAGAACGATTGGTAGCTCGGAGAAAAGGAAGAAGGGACTCACCCTGTTAGTTTCTCTTTCTCTCTTTACGAGAGAGGGGTACCTTACACATGTCTAGGGATCTACGAGGCCCCGAAAATGGGTCCGTAAAGCTAGTCTCGGTGGGGCCGCTCGCATATGGTGGCAACTACGTATGTAACTCGCACATATCTATATATACATATACATATACACACGTACTAATACAAAAAAGAACTCGTGGTAATAGCCAGGTGTTTCAAAGGTGAGGCTATGGGGTGCTCCTCGCCTCGAGAGGCGGCAGAACAAAAAAACAAACCAGCTTCCTTCCGATGGGGCTACCTCCCATAGGCTGAGCCACACGGTATACGTGGAGTACACATGCGCACACCTAGACAAGGTGTGCCGTAATAATTATACAGATTTATTCGAACGGGCCAACTGAACGAAGACGAGCATATACATATACCGACTAGTTAAACGTTTCTACTAAATATATGTGTATATATATATATGTATAACATCGTGAACTCAAAGAAACTCGTATATAAGTACTTACTTCCACGATCATCATCGAGTCACACCTTTCATTGATCTTCTTTCCTACCGTGTAATTTTTCCATTTGATTATAAAAGATCCGTTAAGTAAATTATACGAATCATAGAATGTGATATGCGTCTGTTTTAAGGGACAACACATCTGTTTTAAATTTGTCTATTAGATTTAAACTTTATAATGTGTCTAATAAATTTATTCAAATATAATAAACAGTGTAAACGAATATAAAGATAAAGAAAATGAGAAAGAATTTTTTTTCGGTATAATCTAAAAATTAATGTACACGTTAACACTTATTCTTTCTAACTGCTACTTAAAAATACCGGTGACAAAAATGTATTCCGAAAAATCGTAACTGCTTCGAAAGGGTTGTGTGTTCTTTATGAGACCTGCTTCTAGTATCGAAGCATTACTTGTTAGAAAAAGAACATATATATACATATTTTGGTAACAACCTGCGCAATTTTCGGACCAGTATAGTTGAATTGGAAGGAAGGTGACCAAGGATAGAAAAGCCAACGTCCGTTCTCTCTCTCACTCTCATTTTCTATTTCTTTATCTTTCTTTTTATTTCACTAGGTTTGCACGGATATATGCGGCCAAACAAAAGGTGAGGCGAGTTAACGCGCCCAACATTTGGTATAATTTAGGAGCACCTTTCGAGGTTACTTCTCTCTCTCTCTCTCTCTTTTCATTCTTTATCTTTTTTTTCGCAAGAAGAAAGAAACGGAATAGCTCACCGGAACCAGCGGTAGCTTACCGGAATAACCGGATGAGAAGATGCAGGTCCTCTCGTCGTCTGCTTCGTCTCCTTCCCCCTCCCGACTATCCCCCTCTTTTCTCTCTTTGCGGTTCTCCCTCTTATTTCGGCACTCTTCGTTCTATTCCTCAGAATATTTTTTGACGGATCGGGCTTGAATACGCAAGGGAAGGGAGGGGATACTGGAAGTTTGCTGGAAGGCAGGTAAAGATATACCTAGTATGTATGTATGTATGTATGCATATATATATGTATATATATATGTATGTCTAGTCTAAGAGACAGATAGCTTCTACGAAAGGTACCTTTCTTAAGAGCATACTTTAAGGCATGCAAAGCAGGTAGATGATTCGCTGACTAACGACCGGTGCACGATTCATCCTTTCTCCTCTCTCTCTCTCTCTCTCTTTCTCTCGTTTTTTAAGGAATAAAAGAGAAAGAAAAAAGGAATAAAGGGAGGGGAAAAAAATGTAGTACGCATAACCGAAGATTTTCACCTTCCTTATATTTCTTTTTTTATTCTTTCTTTAGTTTGGTTTTAGTCGCCTCGGACAAGTGGCGGATTATCAAAAGGAAAATAAATTTTATGGGAGGAGGTCAACACCAACACGATGATGGCCATCATTGAGATACTTTCTATCCTTTTCTACGGGAATGAAGAATATTTTGATGATCTCTATCTCTTCTTCTTCTTCTTCTTCTTCTCACACACGCATATGCACACACACTTACGTACAATTGCAACTTTAATAGAATGTAGACCACCTTCAGTGGCGGCAGGTATATCAAAGTCATTGGAATTCGTTTGTGGATCCTTTTGTCTCGTATTTGTGGACAAAATAATACAATCACCCGTTGTTGAAATTTTTTTGGTTATTTATTAGCGCATAAATGCGTTACGCTTTAACGACCACCCGCAATAGTTATGTATAGTTATAAATCTTGACTAGTTTCTTAATTAATACGAGATAAACGTCGTTCGTATCGTCGACGAAGCGTCGTTTATTCATGTATCACGTCGAACAAGGAATATCGAGTTACAAAAGATATTATCATAAAATTGTCGTAGAAAGAGAAGGAGAAAGAAAGAAAGAGAAAGATAGTAAGCATGTTTCAGGTATCGGTAGCTCAGTCTCTTTGTTTCTCCTTTATTACGAAATGATCGGGCAGTCTCGTGCTCGAATGCGCAAGCAAGCAAGCAAGCAAGCATTGGAAACTAGACCAAAGAATATAAAGTGTTACCCGAACGAGCTGTTTACGACGACAAGTACAAGGGGGTCCTTCGTCAAAAATCTTTTTCAATCCTATCTTTTCTTTCGAGCATCAGAGTTGTTCCCGTACACCTCTTTCCTACCACCAACAAACCCGCGATATTTATCATTTTACTTATACAAAAATTCAAATGATCTCGTTCTACCGATGAAATTAATTTCGTTAACGAGGAAGGAAGAAGAAAAACAACAAGAAAAAGTGTTGATCTTTGAATTATCCAATTGTAGCATAGATATTAAACGCGTTTTGCTTATCTACATTTATCTAATCCGAAAATTGATTCTCCGTTAACAAAAATCAGACTTTCCAATTGTGTATTCTTTCGTACAAGAACAAAAAAAAAGATAACTGTTATAAGAAGAAGACAGGCGAGATAAATCATATGAGAAGCAACTCGGATTTCTTTAGGAGGTGGTAATGGGTAGGTCACGTGGCAAGATCACCATGAGTCCAAGCAAATTCTCTTATCCTCTCGTTCGCGAAAATGGCAGCGCGTGCTCTTGGGGCCCCGTGAATTCAACGTAGTGTCGAGTAGGCGAGCGCACACATCCACACACACACACACACACACACTCTTACTCGTATTCGCTGCTGACGTTGCCAGAACGGTCTCTTTCTAACAAGAAGGGGGATCCACCCCGTACGTGTAGGTTTCAGCACGCGTGGGCGATGCTGCGGCACGCGACACGACCGTTAAGTTCGAAACTGGCGCTGAACAAGAGGAAAAGAAACGGGCAAGGGGAACTGAAATTCAGCGAGGGGGAGAAACGAGTGACGAATCGTTGTGTATCCTCACACACACACACGTGCACGCACACAAAGTTACGACGAATGCGCTTACAAAGTTCAAGTATTATATGAAGAAAGAAACGGTACGCGAGTGAAGCTCCTGTATCCAAACACAGATAATAAGAGAGAGATAGAAACACTGGGGTGGGGATTGGGTGGGGAGGGGGTAAAAGAAGAGCCAGGTAGATCGAACGAAAATTCTAATGGAAAAATACGTACGCACAAAATAGTCCTAACACACACATGTGGTGTATGAGTGTGTAACAACGATAGCGTGTAACGAGGGGTAGAGAGGGTGGGTGGTCGTTTAGAGGATAGTAGGCCCAGTAGCATCTGCGTGCTCTCTTTCTCGCAGTAAGTTGCAGAGAAAAATCTCATAAGCAAGCAAGCTAGCAAACGCCTACCTTAGAAAGAGAGAGAGAGATAGAATAATAACGATGGGGAAAAAAAAAGGTAGTGGGGAAGCGTAACGCGGGACGGACAATCATCGGGTCGCGCATTCACAAATAATCCTGCACCTCCTGTCCTGTGGAACCTAACTCGCGCAAACCGAAATAGTGGGGGAATAACGCACGAGTTGTCGGAACAGATGGCTCATCTGTGATTGGTCGACGGCCCGTGACCGGCCGTCCCCCATTGGCGAGCGCGCGGGGCCCCTGGCCCCGATTGGTTCGTCTACACGTGCAGGCCACCTGCATTTGAAATGGTGGGAAGGCGTATATAAAAGGCCCTAGAGTTCCCCCTGCCGTCAGAGACCAGCTTGCAGCTGAACTGTTTTAAACAGTTGTGCTGGGACTTCTTATGAGTTAACATCATCATCAATATCTTTATTTCTTTAGTCAGCTATTTTTTTTTTTTACCTTTGCTCGGTCTGTTAACGAAACCATTCGGCGGAGAAGTTTTTTTAAAAATATACGTAGTGCCATACGTCAAGAAAGGGGAAAAAGTTAGTGTGTGAAATAGTGTGCAGTGACATTAATATTACGTTTATATCAAGGATTTATTATTTAATAATTATTCCATTGATTTTTAATAACATTTATAAGCTTATTTAAGGTATTATTTTATCAGTGTGAATGAATAAGTAATTCTGGTTTTACGTGCAACTCAAAATAATTGGATTAACTGGTGACTGCCTTCGCGGTATATCAATTACCTGCGAAGAGCATTATTATTTTCACCAAAAAACGTGTTGCTTTTCTCCAAGGCCCAAATATGCTTGTCGACGAGATGCCTCGTAGCTTCGTTAAGAAAAATAATAGTTATAGTCACTGTCCGCTTAAAAAGCGACCAGTGCTTGTTGTTATCAACGAGGATGTTCCTAAATTGATCAAAGGTTAGTTTCGTATATTGCATAATTTTCTATTTTTTTCATTCGTACGAACAAACATTTATTCGCATAATATTCTTTGTATTTATTTTTTTACTTTTTAAATAAACGTGATTTCATATTGATCAGTCTTTTGTTCCGGTATTCTTCAAATAAAATATTATTTCCATGAACGGAAACGTTAATCGTCAGTCGAAATATGCATATATGCATAGTGCGTAGTACGATAAACGATTACATTTTTCTGACTTGAAAATTTTCGTAATAAATCATGATATTAGTATAATTTAAATTTTTAGAAATCAACAATTATCTCTTAAACATATACAATCTGATTGTGAGTCATCCAATTTTTTCCAATACTCAATTCATATTAATTCAGAATTCTTTTTCTTTTTCTTTTTTATGCAAGTGGCAATTAATATATGCATTTACGTATACGTGTTTACGTTCATCCTATGCTGATCATGTATTTTTTAATATACATTCTTTCGTATATGACAATAAACTTTCCGCACGCGTATATATATATATATATATATAAATACATTATATCAAAAGGTAAAAAACATTAAAAATTCTTTGCGAATATTCGACCAACGTGTTTAACGTCCATTTGATTTTTCTTAAACAGAAGAAATCATTGACGTAGTAACGGATGATGTTTCCGAGCCCGAAAATTTGAGCACAAAACCAGAAGATCTAAGTAGACACGCCGAGCGTCGTTTAACTCAACTACAACCACAACCACAACCACAACAGCAACAATTATTACAACAGCCGAAACGACAACGAGAAGAAGAAGATGAAGAAGAAGAAGAAGAAGAAAAACAACATCAGCAGCAGCAACAGCACTATTATCATCATCATTTTCCTCCTTATCATCAACATCTTGAATATCAACAACTACTGGAACAACAGCAACATATGTTGTCGGAACACTTAGCCCAAAATTTTCCATCAAGAACACCATCACCTCCAACGAGGATACGATCACCTTCACCAATCTCATTGAAATCTGCCTCACCATCGATGCATCATCATCTTCATATTCTTCACCCGGTGAATTTCCATCATCACAATCATTTCCCAACAAAAGCAATCACGCCGCCGGCTGGTATAGCACCAATTCATCCTGTCGCAAAGAAAGCACGCGTAGAAGTAATCCAACATGAAAGTTCCTCATCAACGGTGATAACAGGTACAACAACAACGACAACGGATACGGGTGCGGATGCGGCCACGGGTACGACTAGTGGTGGTTCAGCCACAACAGTTTCAGCTAATACTGGACCGCTTCATTTCATGGTTAGTAAGGCATCCTTGGAACCATTGAACCTGAACACTCCAGTCGAGCCATCAGCTCATTACGCGACACCAACGTGGGCTCATTCCGCACCTCTGTATCCACCACACTATGTACCCTATCCCGCAAATTACAGATATCATTCCGGGGGCCAGGAGCTTTATTCACAATTTCCTTTACCAACTTATTCACATACATTCCCGGAAGATACTACATCAGTATCGCCACCACCTCACATTGCTTTGACCTGTCCAACAATCCAAAGACCAATTGCCAGGAGTTACAATCACTGGGCTAATCCTGATCAATGTGGTCTTTCCCCTACTAGTTCCTTAGAATCAGGATCTCTGAGATCACCTCCACCGATCACTCCTGAAGATTTATCTTCTCCAGGAAGTGAAAGTGGAAGATCTTCTGCCGGTAGTACTTCATCTGGTCCAACAATTGGCAATGTCAAGATTCATAAAAACTCGTCGAATTTATCATCTTCGTCTACTACTTCTTCATCATCGTCCAATAATACTCCAAGGCATCAGTGTAGAGGTTGTGGAAAATCTTATTCCACGTATTCGGGATTAACTAAGCATGAACATTTTCATTGTGCCGCAGCTGAAAAAACTAAAAAGAAATTTTCTTGCAAATCGTGTGATAAGGTTTACGTTAGTCTCGGTGCACTTAAAATGCATATCAGAACGCATACCCTACCATGCAAGTGTACAACCTGCGGGAAAGCGTTCTCGAGGCCATGGTTACTTCAAGGCCATATCAGGACTCATACCGGGGAAAAACCGTTCAGTTGTCAGCATTGTAATCGCGCATTCGCCGACAGGAGCAATTTACGTGCTCATTTGCAAACGCATAGCGAGGTTAAAAAGTATTCATGCTCGTCTTGTAGAAAAACGTTCAGTAGAATGTCTTTATTGTCGAAACATCAGGAAGGTGGTTGCCCTGGTATAACAGTAGCGATAGGCTACGATCATTTATAAATAATAAATGCCGAAAAAAACCGAGAATCTTTGTACGTTTCACAGAGATCTTAAAAACGTATATGAAATAAACAGCAAACAAACGCGTTTTAATAAAAACCGAATTTTCGCAATTGTGAAAGATCTCTCGGGTTCGCGTCATTATTTTTTTTTTTTTTTTTTTTTTTTTTTTTTTGAGATATATTTTTCGTATCCGACAGTGCCTTTTTCGGGAATACGCCGAATCGAAAAATAAATTATTAACGAAAGACGTAATTTTTTTACATTTAAACTTCGATTAAAATTCGATTAAACGAACTTGAAATTTAATCGAAGTCACCGGAGACTTTAACGAACGGTCGCAAATGATATATTTCCGTTCATATTATTTCAACGATGATGATGATGATGATGATGATGATGATGATGATGATGGTTATGATGATGATGATTCGCAGTTTACTTATTTCTCTTTATCTTTATATTTACCCTTTGTATCATCTAATCATCTATCGACAAATTTAAATCGATCGCCGAAAAATACGATCGTAAATATTTTTTAGGTTTTTTTCTTTTTTCTTTTTTTTTTGTTTATCACTCGTTCGATTAAAATATTAATAATTATTAATTCTTCTTCCATATCGTTAATTTCATCGACCGTCATTCGTTGTAAATATATTTCAAGATTGCGAGTAAGCGGAGTGAGAATATTATTTACGAGTGTGTGTGTGTGTATAAAAGAAAAAAAAGAAAAAAAGAAAAATATCGATGTGTTGCCCGTACGTACGCGTAGGGTAGCGGCGTACGCTTGTCTCTCTTACTTGCAGAAAAATTGGTCAAAGGGTTAAACTCTTGCTTGTACCATTTTTTTGTCGATCACGAAAATAAGAGGAACGGGAAGAAAAAAAAAAAAGCGTTCAAAGTTACCGCTCGACGCGGTTCCCCGTGAAGTCGCCGTGCCATTTTATTTCTTTTTTTTCCCCCCCTTTTTTTTTTCTCTATTTCTCTTTTTCATTTTTATACATTTCCTTCATATTTCTTTTTTATTTTGTTTATTTTAATTTTATATTTGTTCGATCGAAATTTTGAGATCTAAAAAATCTAAGGTAAATATATATATATTAAAATGTTGCATAATATTTGCCAAATTGACTGAAAAAATTGGAAAATAATAAGAACGTGTGTTGTCATTTTGCAGGTTGGTCAAAAGTAAAACATTATAAGGGCTTATAAGTACTTATCGGAAGGAATATAAAATATTCTAATTTAACATTGATCTTATAAAATCAATTCTTCCGATATAAATGAACTTTTATTATTTATGAGCATTCGATATCTTAAGGAATATCAGTAATTAATTGGCAATGTATTGTATGTAGACGAAAAAATTTGCCTGAAAAAAATACAACGAATTAATGATTGTCAAGAGTTTGTACATTTGTTTGCTTTGTCATGAATGCATGTGTAGAGCAGTGGTGTTGTTAATTTATATACGCGCTATTAAATAATATTTTGTTTTGTTTCGTCAAAGTGCCATCGACGACAAACCAACGTACCACTGTATATAAAATAATACGTTTAACGATTACTTTATAGGACAGAAAAAAAGAAAAAAAGAATAAAACGAAATAACGATATATTTTTAAAACGAAACATTAAAAAAAAAAAATAATTATTCATCGGCCGACGTCAAGCGGTGCTAGACGGCGTCGGGTTTAATTATATTTTCCTTCTCTATTTTTCTTACTTACTTACTTTTTTTTTTATTATTTTTTTTAATCTTATTTGTTCTTTTCTCTACTTTTCCTATTATATTTTCTCTTCTTACGTTTATCCGAATTTATATATGTTACCTTTAAAACGAGTATAAAATTTGTTAATTCATGGAAACAATAATAATCAATTATAAATTGATATAATAATAAAATACTTTTTAATATACTTTTTTCTCTTAAAAAAAGCTTTATTTTCATTCGTATAAAATTTATGTTTCTTTTTACTTTTTTGATTTTCATGAATTAAATTAATTATACACTTTTAATGGTAACACGTACACCGCTCACTTTCAAGTTACTCGAAGAAACTAGTCATTGTATCATATAGTATACGTAACTAGAACAAGAGCGACTCGCTATTCGGGAAAAAAGACAAAGAACAAAGTATCATTATTCGTCTATGAAAGATAAAATAAAATGAAATAGACGAAATGAATAATGTCGTGTGCTTGCAAAGCAGACGAGTCGATGTTTTGTTGATCATTTTGAACGCAAAAGATGAACTAAATGTTGCTTGAAATGCATAAAGAGCCGTCGTCCCGTTTAAATCCGTCGTGTCTATTATAAAAATAGATCACCACTTTCGGGGGCGAGTACCACTATTTTCTAGTTCTGTAAAAAAAACAAAAAAAAAATTAAAAAAAAAAATAAAAAAAGCAAATACTATTAAGATATAAATACTGGCTATATATATATATATATATAGAGATATTTTATATGAAATAAAATGATATAGATCTTCAACTTGAATGTTATTTCTTTAGCTTTTTTTTTTGTCTACTCTGAATATTATCCCATCATCCTTTCGTCCAACGAAATTTCATTTTATTTTTTATTACTAAAAAAAGAAAAAAACCGTAGTAAATAATATAAATAATTTTGTTAGAATTATTTCAAATCTATCTCATACAACACACATTAATAACAATTTATTTTTTCGGAATTATTTTATGATGAAGAATAAAATAATATGAAAAGGGAAGGTATCATTGAGGACAGAAATATTGAACGATTCTCGAGTAAGTTTTGAAATTATTCTTTAATCTTAGGATTAGAAACAATTTTCCCATGATAAAAGTAAATTCTATTTTATTATTTTGTTTGATATTCAAAAGAGGAACGAGATCGAACGGGCACGTTTTAAAATATTTCTCGTTGTACGACACGTGCGTATGCAACAAAAGTAATTACATCTATTCGAAAGGTATAAGTTGGTTGCTAAATATTTTCAACGAGAGTTACGGCTATTCGATATATACTCACGCGTATTCGTTGAGTTTGTTGGAATCGAAAGGGGCGTAATAGTTGCGAGATCATAATTAATTGATACAGAGATTTGATCTACATAATACGCTTGCAATAATGTTTAACTCGCGTTAAAACTGATTTCTAAGAAATATTAATCAAATAGTTTGGCATAAATCAAAATCGTATTAATCTATCTGACTATATCAATCTATTTGTGTATATCGAACGAGAAACGTTGAAAATCTTGTTAATTTCATTCGATTTTTGTTGTTGTTATCCTAACCGTGGTGGTTACATATTTTAACACTTTACGATACACGAGACAATTCGGATAGTCTCATTAATGCAAAACATAAGATTTATTGTCAGCATAAACGTAACTTCATACGTTTATATTCATACGACGTAAGTATGTAGGTACATAAAATAATATCGATAGAGGATGACAGGACGTCGTAAACGGCTACCCATATTATACGTTGGAAAATTACAACGCAACTAACCGACGACAGGTAGTTTAACATAAAATAAGCCGTAATCTTTCGCACGAGTTACATTTGGGCACGCGAACGAACGAATGATGATCAACGATCCTCAATTATTCGCTTTCGGGATCTTTTAGATGGTGGTGTTGGTGGTGGTGGTTGGTTCAAAGGTGCAACCAAAGGAGTTAGAATTTATCTCGCTTATATTCACGCACGCACATGTTTGTAACACCGCGTAGAAAGCGGTAAAACGTGACACACAATAGACTTTTAGCAAAGCAAACAACATATGGCATGAAAACGGTGCTACGAAACGCATTGAATCGTTTTCAACACACCAGGGCAATGGGCTACCTGCACTACGTATTTAACGTGCATTTGTCGATTCAATCAGCCGTGCCAGACTTTTCGTTAAGAAGAGGAAAGGAGAGGAGAGGGGAGAACTTTTTGTTCCGTGATTTTTCGCCCATATGGGTGCCTGCAGTTACTTCCACAAGCTGCATCAGTATCGACAGATATTCTATGGAAAGACAGTTACATCTAACGGTAATTATGAACAATTTTCTAATTCTATTTTATGATTTATTTTATCTTCAAAATAAATATCATCACATATGCAACAGAGGATGCATTTTATTACTTCAAGGGGGTATATCTACCACGTTAAAATAAGTTAGAAATATAATATGAACATATGTACAATGTACCTTCGTTTTTCAGTTATAGAATGTGTTCTAAATATCTGTCCCTTAATCCCTTAGTCATTCCAACAAAATGAATGAGAAAACATTTGATTATCTACAATTCTACGTTCAGAAAAATTTTCTTTCTATAATAAAAATATCTTTCTAACTTTCACAGCATTATTAGGTTTACAACAGACTTTAGTAGAGTCTTCCTTGATTTTTCAAAGAATAGAAGACTGATTTTGGCATTCGCATTATTTTAAATCAATGTTAAGTAGAATCAATGGTAAAAATCGTATTTAACATGGACAATTGATAATAGGATAATTTATATTCGATGAAATTCTTTTTTAAACGAGAGTCCGAATTATTTTCACGAAGAGAAATTCAATTAGTAATGAAATCATTTCGGTAGAAATATACATATATACATATACATACCATGGAAACCTAAAAATACGGCATAATCGAGAATTCAAGGCACGTTCGAGAATATCTTCGTTTGACCGACAGGTGTTCTCCTTTTTTCGAGTAGCAGACGAGTCGAATCCACGATAGCTATGTGTATCCACGTAGTACGCGACATACCAACTTGAACGAACACGAGGTAAGAAAGTGTGGAAGCAAAAGCTACCTTGGATCCTTGGGCTTTTATGGTGAGTGGTTCGATCGAACAGGTGCGTTGGTACGTTCGTACTCTCGGTTTAAAGCTTCTATTCTATAACACGTCTCGTCTTAGTCCTATTTACGAATGAGTAGTATCCGGACTAAGTATTTACCTGCAAATACGTATATCACCGTCGTTTGTGCTTTAATAAAAAAGAAAAAACACAAAATAAAACTACGTAAGAGGAGTGTGCGTGCAAAAAATGCTAAAAACTACGACAAAAGATCGTAACGTCGCAACTTCCGTCCTAAACTAAATGAGATCTCATGTCAAGAGTCCACCGTGATTTTT